TATTCATAAATTATATACTATTTTTATCAATAAAACAATATTAATAAATATATTTAAAAAGACTAAATAAACTGCTTATTCATAAATGTCTTTTTTTTATTGCCTCATGACTTTCAAATGGGCAAAATATTTTGTGTCACCATGCTTCGAACTCTCATTCTATGTGCTTCTTCTTCTCTCCAAAAATTTTTATACTAAATTTTCAGTGTGTATTCATATTAATTGGATTTTCGTTTTCACTTTTATTTATATCATCTCTCACTATGTAATTCTCTTATACATAACGTGTAATTTATAGTAAAATTTATTTTTATTAATATTAAAAATGTTAATAATGTTGGTAATTAAATTATTAATGGATATCATTTCTATTACATAATTTATTATATTTATTTTTACTGCACATTTAATTTCTAGCTCTTAATCATTTCTTGTGTCAATTATTTTTGAACGAAATCCCATATGACCATTTCATGAATGTGCCGATATAGATTTTGTTTATATTTTAATTAAAAAAAATAATATACAAATTGAAATATAATTTTAAATACCTGTAAAAAATATATTAAACATTTCTTTTTGCAATAAATGAAAAAATATGTCAGAATTCAAGATCATCAAAAAATTAAGATATTAAACTCAAAACCTCAATTTGTCTTTCTTTGGCGACACTGTTATTAGGTAAAGGCATTGAAAATGGTACATTCGATATAAGTGCTGTACTTATGTCGATGTAAGTGCTGTATTTTTACAACTACGAAATATTTATTTATTTGTGAGTTAATATTAATATTAATTTTAACATTCTCTTAATTACTTAAATATACCCAAACAAGCATGCCATAATTAAGTTATATATAATGTTTTATATATATTGCATGCTTATAGTGCTAGCTAACATCTTTAATAAGTTTCTGAAATCACTTCTGTAGAAATATTTTAAATATCCTTTAAAACTATAAAATAAAAGAATTTTGATTAAACTTGTTTTAAACAATAAAAAATTGTATTGTATTAATTGTTAATACAATATATAATAAGTTATATTAGCTTAAAAATCAGTTAAAATTTTGATAGAAAACAACTATTCAATATAGAGTAAATGCTTTCAACATGAATCTATATATTATAGAAATACATTAAGGATAGAGACCACCATTTTTTGATAACTAATGTGAAAAAATTATAAATTTACAAATAATTGCATTTTAGTGTTATTTTAAATATATTATTATAAAATAAAATATTTTGATAGCTTAAACTGATATAAGATTAAAAATCAATATAACAAATAGTAGGTTAAAACATTGATGTTAGCACAATCTGGTCTGGTTATTAGTTGCGATGTATAGTATCCCTAAAATAATAATAATAAAACTATTTGTTATATAACATTTAAATCAATTCTAAATCTGTGTCAATGCGATTTGATTTAAGTAAAAATGTAATGCATTTATTATAACACCCTAACCTCTTTAACTTGAAAGCATCTGTCATTGTTTTACACATACTATAGCTTTTTTTAATATATAAACATTAAAATATATAACAAATTTAAAATTCGCATAAAATGTTATCTTTTTTTCTATAAAAGGAATAAAAAAGGGTATGCAAATATTATCCAATTAGTCGTGAGTAGTCAAAACTTTTTACAAATTAGTCGCTAACAAAATAAAAAACAACATTTTAGTATAAAAACGCAAATCTATTTTAAATAAAAAATTTACTTAAATAAAACATTTCTCATAAATTGTCTAAATGTGTAATTTCGATAACACATTACACAAATATTGTATAAAACGAAATTCAACTAACAACTCTGCTCCAGCGTTGCGTGAGCCCTTTTCGTTTTGCGAGTATGAACACTTATTTATAATAAAAAAAAAAAAATAATTTGTCTTTTCTGCTTTCGTTCATCGTTCCAAGTGCCGACTTCAATCGAATTCTTTTTTAGTTTTTCTTTCGTGCAGTGTATTCGTTCAGTCTTATGTGAACGTTTGAGAAGCATGTACAGCTTTCTCGTCAGCCATTAGAGGAGATTTTCATTCTCCTTTTTGTGCTTTCGTTATTGGAAAAATTAAAATTGGAATTATATTGTAATTATTTCAAGTGTTACATAAATTTTAGAAAAAATATATATAATTAATATATTATCACAAAAAAAAGTGTTCAAATATAAAAGAAGTGTACGCTTTAAAGTAAATTTAATTATTTTTAGAATATCGATTTTATGAGCACATTTACTATGTGTGAGTGCTATTGATGAATTAAAAAAAGTAGTGGAATGCAAGAAACCACATATAATTTTTAATTTTGTGTATTTTTATATTTATGTGTAAATATTAAATTTTCGTTAAAAATAAAAAATAAGACTAATACTTAAAAAATAGTTTTTTAAAAATTACCTAATCGCCAAATAAGAGAGATTACGTTCTATTACCTTTGCTCTGTGTGTCTGCTTTTGTTTACTCTCGCTCTCTCTCATTGTGTTTTATACGTACCGGGTTCATCATCAGTTTTCTTTTCTTTGTTTAGTTAGAAGAAAAAGTTTTTTTTTTCATGCTATGTGTAAAAATATTTTAATAAGTTTTCATTAATATATAAAACGAGTGCAAAAGTATTTAAAATATTAATATATTTATATTTTTTTTTGTTTTTTTGCACGCTCTGCATATTTTTACATTTTTACATGCAAATATGTTACTTATTTTAATTGTATTATTGTGTGGATATTAGTTGAAATTTTTTTTCACATTCCGCTACTCCAATATCGTCGTCGCGTACGTTTGTATCCCCCCTGCTTGGGACGGTATTCGCTCTTATGTTGATTTGCCGTTTTCGTTTCAGTGTTTTCGGTTTTTGGCAATAAAAAGCAAATAAAGTAAAAAAAAAAATATTCACTACAAAAGCAAAGAATGAAAACGAAATTAAAAGAAAGAAATTGATGAATTAATTTCCATTTCTTATATATTATAGTGTGGTGTTTTTTTTATAAATATTTTGTGTGAAAACTTAATGTTAAAAACTGATTGATTAAATATTTGTACATAAATTGCAGCAGATCCGCACGAGATACAATAATTTTATGTAAAATATTTGGGAGGAGTTAAAAGGTACACATATTAGTAGTACATATGTAATAGAGATATTGCTAATACTTTTCTTTAGTGCAAAAATTGAAATAAATAGCAATAAAATTATTCACACAATAAATTAATTGATTTATCTATTACAATTATATAGTTACGAATTTTAATCTGATCATAATTAAACCAATGTTAAAGTATATAATTGCCTGATTTAGCCGACAAGGCTACCAGATCTAAAGTTAGCAGTTTGTGGTTAAAAAATAAATAAGAGGTAATGTTTAAGTTTAAAAAACGAAGTTGTTGACCACTCCCTATAAATTTTTTTAATTAAATAATATTTAAAAAAATTATTAAATGGTTTTGGTTATTGTTATTTTTTTTTTATTAAAAATGATTAAAAAGTTATCTCTAACTTTGTCGAAGTTTCAATATCTTTCAGACAGAATTGTTTCCAAAGAATTATAATCATACGTATTTTAACACTATTTTTTTATTTGAAAAATATATTATTTTTACAAATAAATTACTTTCATCCATTTTTATTGTTGTGTTGTAACGTGGATAGGCGACCTTGTACCTCTGAAAGGGAGCTATCAGTATGTACTTGACAATCTGTACAGATAAGTGGTGATGGTTCCGTGATGTACACTCGGCCATTCCTAGTACACTTCCTAGTGTGCACATTTTCATACGTTTAACTTAAGTTTTGAAAGATTAGAATGTTATGAGATAGGCGGGTGTCATTTAAACTTTTTGTCTTGTCATGCTGATCGGGAATATATGTGATTTCAATTATTTTCGACTTTTTACAAATACATTGATAAGTTTTATTGTCTTTTCATGTTTTGTGGGTAGAGTAGAGTTCCAACTGTTATTCCAGTCGTGTATTTTGATGTTCAAATTACTTCTGATTAAGCATATGTTAATACAGATGTAGACATATAGATCAGATAAACTTTTGAAGATTTATATTGTTCCATTCTAATGTTTAAATGCCAGGTTTCAATTTAAGGTACTTGAAGTACTCAAGTATTGTAATGCTCAAAACTTCAAAGCTCTCGTAAAGATTATTTAGTAATATTTATAAGTTTAAAACAGTTTATTTTATTCTATACTCGCTATATAAAGTGTGTATAAGTTAAATATACAATCATAACCTTAGATCATTTTTGATTATAAAATATTTTAGTGGTATAATTTCAAATAATAAATATAATAATTTTTTTTAATCTTCTTGACAGTCACGCAGTGTTTATTTGCATAAAAAATATCATTATTTCTAATATTTTGCAGACTATTTAATAAATAATCATAAAAAGTTAAAGCTATTGTCTGTTAAAATAAATGTTATCAAAGGAAAATTATATACATTTATCTAAATAAAAAAAGTATTTATCTCTTCTTATCGAACAGTCGAATCGATCTCCCGTTTTCATTTTACCCATACCAACCACCCTTCTTCGTCTTTCAATCAATTTAACAAACGTTGCCGTCAAATTGACTAACAACTAAAACCTTATTTTGCAAATTTCAAAGCTTTCAAACAGAAAATAACTTAAAAAGATAAATATTCTAACAACAACTTATCATAAACAATAAAATAAACTTATTGCCTCCAGCACCCCAAGTTCGAATTTTAATGGGTTTGACACACAAGTGCACTACATAAATACAATGTCTGTCGTTTACAATACGTACATATTTGTTGGAACTGCACGTATACACTTTCAATTGGTTTTGCTTTATATTCATTCTATAACTGCGATTTTATTACATAAAACTTCAAAAAAAAAAAAAAAATAAATTAAATTTTCAATTATTATGTCAGTATTTTCTTAAAGAATTATGAAAACTGTCATAGTTTATCAAAGACTCAACTCTATCCATCCAAACATTTATACGCTTACAAATGATACAATAAATTTCTTTTTAAAAACTTGGTTGCAAATATAAATTTAATCAGCTTTTTTCTTTAGATACATTCAAAATATCTCAAACTGAATTGATTGAGATTTGAAATCTCCCTGATTTTTACATTCTCCCTCGTTGGCTGTCACTTTTTGTAGGCTCTCGTTTGTGTGCGGTGCGCTGGCAAAAACTGGTTAGCTGATTTTGTTCTACAGATTGCATGTATGGCTGTTTAGGTGATTGGGTCCAATAAAGAAAAACACGTTTCAATAAGAAATTGTCAATATTTGCTTAGAATGTATACGGAATATCAGTGTTTTTTGTATGAAATATTAATTGTACGTTTGCCCATGTTTGCATATTCTCGTAATATGAAAAATTTTATAAAAGACTCTGTAGTAAACTTTGATAAATGAACAAATGAACAAATCTTTTTCTTCTCAATAAAGATCTGTCTTTAGTTTATTAGCATAAAAATGACAAATTACCAAATAGACTAAGTTGATTTTTATTACTGTCATGATAATCGAATTATTGTGGCAAAATATATTCTAATAATTAAACGTTATTAATAATAAATAATAACCATTAACGACATCCGTATCTTAAAAAACTAAAATTACATTTAGGAATTGGCGAATCCATCGGTAAGATGTGTTAAGTTTAAATATGCAGAGCAAAAAATTATATCATTTTTAAGTAATTTTTACAGAAAAACCAAATTATTGTACATGCGAACTAATTTTACAAGATTAGTCCTTTTCTCTCTGGTATTAGTAATGACAAAGATTTCTATTCTCTCTAGTATTATGCTATGTATTCGAGTTCGAGTATATTATATATACATATTATACTATTACGAGTTCGCGAATGCAACCATGAGATGTGAGATGAATCATTTTTAAGTAATTCTTAAAGTAAATACAATACCATGAACAAACAGCTGTTTGAGTTATAGATGTAATAATATATTTAGGTATTAAAAAGTGAAGAGCAAGCAAACGATTGAGTTTCAAATGAATGAATGCTTGAATCTAAAAACGCGTTTAAAATTTACAGACAGAATTTAACGCAGACTTGTGCCTGTTTCACAAAGCTAGCAACATTCTTAAGTATGTTTAAAGACTGGAAGTTGGGAAAAAATATATTCACAATTATGAATTTCAGTTCTAATCATCATTACTTGCTATTTCACCGTATCTGTATTCTAAACCAGGCATAAGTTGTTTGTATTATATATTTTTTTCTTGCTTTTTGTGACTCCCAAGTAGTCTACGCAAAAACAGTTGTTTTTGTCATATGTATTAATAATAACAAGCAAACCAATAGTTCTTTAAGTGAACGAAATAGATATGAAACTGCTAAAGTAGTTTCTGATGGTCTCTGGTCTTTACCAATTATGTTTTTCTTTTTTAAATTCATTGCTATTATCTATGATCTGGTTTTAATGAAGAGCGATTATCTTTTACAAGAAAAAAATGGTTTTTAGTTTTTTGATTTTCAATCAATTGTGTTGAAATTTGTAGTGCCAATAATATAATTTTTATAATAATATTTAATAATGTTTTAATAATAATATTTTAATAACATGATTTTCACAATATAATAATTTCATTATATAATTTAATTATAATAATATAATTTTAATAATATAATACAATTTTAATAAAATATTATTAATTTTTACTAAAAGTAAAGGAAATAATCAAGCAATAAATGTAAGCTTTCAAGTTCCGTGCACTGTTAAAAATTACCTGTAGGATGCTATCTACAAACCATATGAGAATTATATCCAATTAAAAATACAATACATATAAAGTTTGATGTATAGGCAATATCGTCTCTTGCTAGGAGTAGATAAGACTTACGACTTTTTATTGTCTGACTTTGATCAGGTTTAAGAAAATTGGGCCGCCTAATATTAGGATATTTTCACAGTATTAGCAAATTCTGGTTTTCGGCCTTTGTTTGTTTAGGGTCAGAAGTTATCAGTAAGAATGTACTATGGTGTTTTACTTCACTATAAATATTCAATTCTATAACTGTTGTCATATAATAAAATATTTTTATTAATATATTAAAGATAAAACAATAAATTAAATTTAATATTATTTTCTTTAATATGTGCAGGAATTTACTAATCACTTGTGTCAATTATATTGAATGCTCTGCTCTTAAGCTATTGTTTTTCTTCTCATCGCGTTTGCTTAATTAATGCAGTTTTTGTTGCGTGAAGTTAATAGTCAAGTTAAGAACCATGAAATGAATGGTGTATATAGAAGCACTTAACTATTGTCATTTTATTTAGTTCCAGCACTTTAGTTGCCAATCTTAAATTTTGTACCATAAAATAATATGTAATTTTTTTATCCTCAAATTTTATTTACAATTTTTATGTTTTATAAGCTCTGAATCTTTAAAGGTGAAGTAGTTGTAAACTATAAGTTTAGTTTCAAGTTCTAAATAACTGTTGTGTGCTATTGCAAAGTAGTAATATATGGTGTATGTATTATTGTATATTCTCCATATACTAATAATTATACTAATATGAAATATTAGATTGCCGATGTAGGTAGTAGTGCAAGATTGTAAAGCTCAATTAGCAAAAGCGTAATTAGCATCATTTTAATAGAACTGCAGATGCATAAACGAAAGTTAATTTTACTTAGACGAATAGCAATATTAACTCACCGTGCTTTAAATAGCTTTTATGTGATTCTACCTTATATATGTATATAGTAACGTGAATATACTGTTAGCACTTAAATTTAAATTTATTTTATAAATATTGTATTTGTATAAAAGAATTTCAATGAATAAAATCATAAATTACCGAAAATGCACAAAAATATAAAAACAATTTAATTTATAACCGAATTGCAGCTTAAGATTCCCAATTATAATCTATATCATTCGAACTATTCTATTCTGATTCTATTCTATTGATTCTATTCGAATGATTCTGTTCTATATATATGACTATATTTTAATGATTATATTCTAATGATTCTGATTCCATTCTAAATATTTCATTCTAAACATATTCTAAACACTCTATTCTGTTTTATATTATTATTTCCTATTCTTTTTTTATTAAATTTCTATTTTATTATAATTTATTTCTTTCTGTTGTCTTTATCATCTATTATAATTACCTATTATAATTTGTCAGAATATATTTTATATGGCTATAAATCTGTCGTCTACGCTTCCAAGTTTTTGTAAGAAATTAACGTATTGAATTGGTTAATAAAATTTAAAATATCTTTAAAATTTTGTAATAACAAATGCACATAGTAAAATTCTAGCTTTCGAATTGAAATTTTTATAGACAATATATATATTGTATATATTTTAAACAAG